ATATATAAATTGTGACTAGCGACATTTAGAACAAAAGTCGACCCTACAGTAAGCTTGAATCTGGTAGGAAATTTCAAACAAGTTCATGGTTTGGGGTCAAAGTCATAGCGAGGAAAAACTAGGTCCCTTTGTAAATAGATTTGAAGCCAAACTGTCGGGATTGTGCTGCAGGGGAAGACGTAAAAGACACATCCACTCTCACCTTTTCCAATAAAGAAAATACGGATCGTAAGTCAGGACCCAGGATAAATAGAAAAGTCTCTTTTAAACTTCTAAGGATGGGCGATGGGAAACACTGACATGCTCTCAAGTCTCTTACTGGACCCTTAAGGTGTTCTGATGGGGCCAGTTCAGTGGTGGGATTCAAATAGGTGAACAACCGGTTCTCTGCATGGATGCCCACTTCCGGAAGTCCGTTCTGGGCCTGGACAACAAAACAATTAGCTGTCGAAGTGGTGCAAACTGGCTGAATCCCACCACTGGGCCAGTTGGTGGTCATCTAATACAGAGGTCCCCAACCTATGGGCCACGGTACAGAAATAGGTCGTGGCCTCTGGGCCACCGGGCCGCAGGAGTAGCTGGCCAGTGCATGTATGTGAGCGTGCTCACCCCTTGCTTTTGTGCCGGTGCTAGCCGCAAGCCTCTCACTGGTGCTAGGCAAGCCACGAGCCGTGCACCGGCACTAGCAGCCCCATTCGCAGAGCATGCATGCTCACAGCCCCATTCGCGTACATATGCACCCGGTCACATTTGCGCATGTGCGCATGCATGCATAAAGGTTCCTGTTCCTCCTTTTCCAACTGGGCCGCAAACCCAGAAAGGTTGGCGACCCCTGATCTAATAGCAAAGGTCATTCCAAGTCAGTCGCTGAAGAATCTAGTATTTTCTCTCCCTCCCACCCGCCCCCATGACATTTTACAAGGCAAGGAAACCATCAAAGGCTGGATTTGGAAAACCTAAAATCCTTTCACTCCTTTTGGCAACTGTGCCATCTTTTCATCTTTTCATCTAGCTGAGCAACCAAGGTTTGTTGGATAGGTGGAAAATCTTCCATCAGAGATAGGGCAAGCCGGAGACCCGAGTAAGTTTTAAAACAGCAATCCTGCCAAACGGCAGCCAAGCTTGGGGGGACTTGGCTCCACCTCCTACGTTCCAACTTTAACCAAACGATTTCCATGTTCAGGAAACTATAATGGGCATTTTCAGGTGAAGGAGCCTGTAGTAATTTTACCATGGAAATTAAGAGACTGCTGGCATCAACGTTCCCACCCAAAACTGTTAAGTCTTGATGGGTTGGGAGTCGTGGGACTTAAACCGATTAAAACCACGGATGCTTGTAACCCGGAGATGGCTCTGAAAAGCACGTCTGCTGTTATTTATTTATTAAATTTATATTTATTTATTGAATTTCTAGACCTCTATCAGAGCTCTTCCTCCCAGCCACCAAGGTGAGATCGCACGATAGGTACCATGGTTGATGAGATTTCGTTCCTAAGGACAGTTCTTTCTCTTAGTCGTAGCTCTGCTAAGGGCTTTATAGCAAGCACAGTGGTCACCACTTCCTCGGCTGAGTAATGAGGATCTTCTGCTAAAGACCCCTAGACTCCCTTTGTGTTACTGTCAAAGCTGACTCGGCTACACCATCGCCTGCACCCGATTTCGCCTTGCAGTTTGCCAAACAGAAACGGGAGAAAGGTTTGGTAAATTCCTAGGGAGAGGGGAGGGCTAAGGAATGCATGAGAGCCCCCCAAGTTCAAGTCCCTCAACGGTTTAAACGGCAAGACTCTTTCCCCAAAACAAAAGAGCTGAGTGTAATTGGTGGGCAACGAAACGGTGGGTGGCCCAGAGGAGAAAAAAAGGCTTTTTAACTTATGTCGGTGTTCGCGGGAAAACCTCGGAAGTGCTGTCCCTAGATGGATCTTTCCATAAAATTTTACTCTTGGTGAAACTCCTTTGGACCAGGAGATCCTTTTTTAGAATGTGCCAACTGGGATGGTTGACATTTACTACAGCTCTGATCGTTCCTCGGAGGAACCAAATGAGTAAGCAGCCAGGCTCTTTGTGGTTCGAATATGGATCATACATCGCTGTGTCTCGAACTAAGAGACGTAAAACTGCCCCGGCGGCTTCGGTAAAACTGGGAGAAACTGGCCGCCCGACTCCTCTTCCTTCTCGTTTCACTCCAACTCCGTTGTTTGTCCCGGGTGATAAAGTTTTCTATCAATTTCAGTTTCGAGTGCTCTTCCTTCAAGAAGAAATCCACCAGCACGCTCTTCTCCTTCTTGATCTGCTCACTGATGTCCTTGGGAATATCTGGGATCAGCCAGTCCACCAGCACACTGAGGAACATCACCAGATTCTGNTTGCCACATTTGTGAAACGAATCACTGCAGTTGTTAAGTTAGGAACATGGTTGCTAAGTGAATCCTGCTTCCCTCTTGATGTAAAAAAGATGTTGAGACTCTAGAAAGAGTGCAGAGAAGAGCAACAAAGATGATTAGAGGATTGGAGGCTAAAACATATGAAGAATGGTTGCTGGAATTGGGTATGTCTAGTTTAACGAAGAGAAGGACGAGGGGGGACATGATAGCAGCCTTCCAATATCTCAGGGGCTGCCCCAAAGAAGAGGCAGTCAAGCTATTCTCCAAAGCGCCCGAAGACAGGACAAGAAGCAATGGATGGAAACTCATCAAGGAGAGAAGCAACCTAGAACTAAGGAGAAACTTCCTGACAGTTAGAACAATTAACCAGTGGAACAACCTGCCTCCAGAAGTGGTGAATGCTCCAACACTGGAAGTTTTTAAGAAGAGATTGGAAAGCCATTTGTCAGAAATGGTATAGGGTTTCCTGTCTGAGCAGGGGGTTGGACTAGATGACCTCCAAGCTCCCTTCCAACTTTATTATTATTATTATTATTATTATTATTATTATTATTATTATTATTATTATTATTATTATTATTATTATTATTATTATTATTATTATTATTATTTTGCTTGTCAGAAAGTCGCAAAAGGGGATCACATGACCCTGGGAGACACTGCGACCATCGTAAATATGAGTCCATTGTCAAGCATCCAAGTGTAAATCACACGATCACGGGGATGCTGCAAGTATCATAAGTGTGAAAAACGATCATAAGTCCCCTTTTTTCAGGGCTATTGTAACTGAATGGTCACTAAACGAAATGTTTAGGACTAACAGTATCAAATGCTGGCTTTGCCAGTCCTGGTTTCGTAAAAGGAGGCATTTCTTGAAGGTTAAAAGCGGATGGCAAATCGTTAGCAGCATATTTTGAAAAAAAAAAAAGCAGATTTAGAATAGAAGAAAACCCATGTGAGTTAGCCAGCACAACAGCACTACAGAAACCATAGGGCAAGCATTGCAAAGTCCATATTGTGTGGCCCTCAAGACAGGGTGCAACGCAGCATTCTTCGTTAAATAAAAGGTAAGGTTGTGTACAATGGTTAAATAAACGGAGCCACGGTGGGCTGTGCCCGAACCTGCCCAGATAAAAGCCAAGTTATTTTGAGATAAGTACAAGGCCATTCTTGGATAGAGGAAGGAGGCCGCTCTAGCTCCTTGCTTTCATGCCCTGTGATTGATCATCCACAACTACTGTACTCCCACTGCCCACAGAGAAGAGGGGGGTCGCGTTATTCATGAAAGCACCAGAGGGCAGGTCAAGAAACAATGGTTGGAAACTGAACAAAGAGAGAAACAACCTGGAATTAAGGAGAAATTGTCCTAACAGTGAGGACAATCAACCAGTGGAACAGCTTTGCCTTCAGAAATCGTGGGTGCTCCATCACTGGAGGTTTTTAAGAAGAGAATGGAAAGTCACTTGTCTGAGATGGTGTAGGTTCTCCTGCTTGGGCAGGGGGTTGGACTAGAAGAACTCCAAGGTCCCTTCCAGCTTCTATTCTATTCTATTCTATTCTATTCTATTCTATTCTATTCTATTCTATTCTATTCTATTCTACTCTACTCTACTCTACTCTACTCTACTCTACTCTACTCTACTCTACTCTACTCTTCTATTCTCTATTCTATTCTACTCTACTCTACTCTACTCTACTCTACACTACTCTACTCTACTCTACTCTACTCTACTCTACTCTACTCTACTCTACTTTTCCATTCCATTCCATTCCATTCCATTCCATTCTATTCTATTCTATTCTATTCTATTCTATTCTATTCTATTCTATTCTATTCTGTATTCCGTTCTATCCTATCCTATCCTATCCTATCCTATCCTATCCTATCCTATCCTATCCTATCCTATCCTATCCTATATGGTTGCAAGCCATGGAGAAGCTGGAAGACCTAGTCTTGGCTTTTTGCATAACCCAAAAAAGATTTGGGGACTAATGGAAAAGCTTTGCGTGGTTTAAAAAAAATGGCGCCGTTCTCCGAACTTTCGGACTGCAGAAAGACCTCCAATATATTCAAGAAGATAGAAAAAAAAGGTAAACATTAACAGATTATGCCCCACACGAAAAGACAATTTTGCCAAGAGACACATCTGGATGGTGAAACACAATTTATGTATTTATTTTTTTAAAAAAGTTTCACCTTTCCTAACTGATGTGGCTGCCACAAAAACACAAGTTTTGGATTCTACCCATGGAGAACAGAACATGGAACGCTTGAAACAGTTTTCCTGTTCGTTGCATAAAGACAATAGTGGGAAAAGGACAGAGTGTATATTGTTGCAGCTTTTGCAGAACGTCAAGTATGTGGGTGTCAGAACAAAATGAGTGTTCCACACTTAACAGGTGGTGCCGATGGGGCCCAAAGAAAAGAGCAAGTCTTTTATTGCACCGACAAGGAAGAAACTGGAAAATATGACCTAAACAGGCACACGATGGTGGTAAATGTAGACCAGCAGCGCTAAGAACACTGTGCAATGCCATCTGCTCAGTATAATAAAATATCCCTGACAAGACTTTGTGACAGCGTTAAAAAAAAACTCACTGGGCCATGAGATGGAGGGAGGTCAAAATGTCCCTGATGACAAATAGTTCAGTTCTACACAAAGAGAAGTTTAGAAGGAACGTTTCCATAATGGTTGAAAAAAAACACCCATGACAAAGACTAGGGAAGTTGAGAGCATGGTGACATTCCTAGATAACATCATCATGTTCCATTGGACCATGGCAGTTATCCACCAGGAGACAGATGTGTTCCTTCCACTGGAACAGCAATTCATCAGGTGGTCTCCCAGGGAGGCTGCAGATGCAAAAAAGTTGGCCTTGTGTCCCTTGGATTGCAGCCTTTCAAGATTTTAGCCCTTGATAGAAAGTCACCGTTTAGATATTGCCATCTTTTTCCACTGAACGAAAAGGTCAAGTCCTCTGGTGCCCGTTTCTCAAGAAATGATGATCCAAAATGGCAGACCTGCCTCTTCCTTTAACACAGACATGTCAAACACAAGGCCCGGGGGCCGGATGCGGCCCGCGAAGTGGTTTCATGTGGCCCGCGAAGCCATCCTGGAAACAGTGAGGGAACGGCCCCTGCTGCCTTGGTGCTGGCCCAGGCCGGCCAGGAGCCAATGTACAATTTTGTGGTGGCCATCTACGCTGAGACGCATTCAGTCTTAGCTCCACAAGGCCATCTAGAAACAGCGAGGAACCAGCCCCTGTCGTGTCGGCCCCGTCCCCTTGGTGCGTGCTGGGGAGGTGTCACCCTTTGTGAGGAATGAAGAAATGGACCATGCCTTGGCGCTTGCCCCGGTCCCACCCCCTTCTGCCAGAGACCCTCAGATCTGTCCCACTCCTGCCCAGGCCCCCATAGGCACCCTTGACGTGAATGATGTACAGCTGGCCATGGGCCACCCAGTAGGCCACACCCACTCCATCCACGCCCACCTAGTAGCCGCACCCACCCGGCCCCCCCGAGGGCAACCGCAATGCTGATGCGGCCCTCAATAAAATTGAGTTTGACACCCCTGCTTTAACAACTTTAGAAGGCCTTGAAAAAAATCCAGTGGCGTAAAACCGGCAGTTCCAGAAAGCAACACAATTCCAAGATCACCTGGGCAGTATAATGCTCTGTTTATATTAAAGTAGTCTTATGTTAATAGGTGAAAAAAGAGGAGGGTGATCAACATCTAGGATGCAATAACAGAGGGATAGAATCAAGGTCACGTGAAGTGTTAACACCACTTTACAATGCCTTGGTAAAGCCATGCTTGGTCAGTTTTGGTCACCACGATATAGAAAAGATGTTGGGACTCTAGAAAGAGTACAGAGAAGAGCAACAAGGATGATTTAGGAGACTGGAGGCTAAAACATATGAAGAATGGTGGCTGGAATTGGGTATGCCCAGTTCAATGAAGAGAACGACGAGGGGGGACACGATAGCAGAGTTCCAGTATCTCAGGGGTTGCCCCAAAGAAGAGGGAGTCAAGCTATTCTCCAAAGCACCTGAAGGCAGGACAAGAAGCAACGGATGGAAGCAACCTGGAATTAAGGAGAAACTTCCTGACAGTGAGGACAATCAACCAGTGGAACAGCTTGCCCTCAGAAGTTGTGGCTGCTCCATCACTGGAAGTTTTTAAGAAAAGACTGGACAGCCATTTGTCTGAATTAATATAGGGTCTCCTGCTTGAGCAGGGGGCTGGACTAGAAGACCTCCAAGGTCCCTTCCAGTTCTATTCATCATTAAAAAAAAGATCCTATTTGAAGGAGATGGAGGATGGAGCTGGAGCTGGAGTGAAACAAGGGCAGGGCCCAAGCAGGTGACAACGCCCATCACAAACACACAAATATGCAATGATTTTTCGTTCATTACACACCGAGTGATGAAGACGTATCTCAAATGGAGGCTGGAAATGTCAATGCAAAAAAGGAACTCTTTACCATGTTTGGTGGACATGTGACGAAGCAAAGAAATATTCTTCGGTTGGATTTACACGTTCATACAACCGAAGATTCTTACAGTGAATATAAAGATGAAAACAGAGACTTTTCATTTAGGCTTCATGGATAAAGAACTTGGAAAAATCCCCCCCAACTTTGATGTTATATATGCTGACAGCAGGAAGAATATGCACACAAAAAACGGAAGGATACTTTGATTCCCACTATGGATGAATGGAGTTAGCAGAGGTGGCTAAATTGACTGCATTGTGGTTTGTATCTTGTGTTGTATCTTATGATCTATGGCTTACCACTTTGTTGTTTGTATGTACACTGAGAGCTTANCCCCCCCAACTTTGATGTTATATATGCTGACAGCAGGAAGAATATGCACACAAAAAACGGAAGGATACTTTGATTCCCACTATGGATGAATGGAGTTAGCAGAGGTGGCTAAATTGACTGCATTGTGGTTTGTATCTTGTGTTGTATCTTATGATCTATGGCTTACCACTTTGTTGTTTGTATGTACACTGAGAGCTTACGCACCGGAGACAAATTCCTTGTGTGTCCAATCACACTTGGCCAACGAAGAATATTCCTATTCCTATATTCCTGTTCCTACTCCTACTTTGTCAATTTCTGTCCATTTTTCCACGTCTGACGCGCATACGTTTTGATTAAAGAAAAAAAAATACAATTAATTTTGCTTCTCCTTGGAAACCCAACAGCGGATGAATAGCAGGCTGCAACCAATTCTTGTGGAGATGCAGGCCAGGGGCCGACGACTCCATTATGTATTCTTCAGACTGTTTTCCAATGGGTGTGGTTTTTCCCCCCATTTATTCTGAATTAAATTGCATTGTTTGGTTTAAAGCAAAGAGTTGAGGTTTTTTCCCCCCCCTTTGGGCTAAAAGAGATTTGTCGTAACATGTTCTGGTTCTTTAAAAATCAAACAATTCCACCCCAGCTCTTGTGCATGAAATGGCCAGGTGTTCACTATATCATGCGCTGACAGCGTGTCTGCACACGGCAGCATGGCTGCCTCCAGAATCACAAAGACACACGTGGCTTTGAGGCACTGGAGGATGGGCGTGGTGAGGTGCAAGGTGGACCTTTTAAACATCTGTTTAAAAAGGCACATGAGGGAATTCCAGGTAGGAAGCCTCAGAAGGGGGAAAAGAAAAAATAGCCCCCCAGTGTTGGGCTCCCAAAAAATTAATGAAAAACCACAAAGTGTCTATGGGGATTCTCCATCAGCCAGGGTGTCCCAAAGGTGCTTTTTTCAGCTGGACTTTCTTGTTTTTCTTTGAAGACCTTTTGCTTCTCATCCAAGAAGCTTCTTCAGTTCTGACTGGATCGTGGGGAGTGGAAGGATTTATACTCCTTATAGATAGCTGGTCATTTGCAGCCTTTTTAGAGAATCGTTGAGGCCACTTGGAGAAGGCTCTGCCCCCATTTGAGCCACTCGGGGGATCCTGAGGACACAGGTAAATCTCCAAGTGGCCTCAACGGCTCTCTGAAAAGAAGGCAAATGACCAGCTCTCTGCAAGGAGTATAAATCCTTCCCTTCCCCACCATCCAGTCAGAGCCGAAGAAGCTTCTGGGATGAAGAGCGAAACGTCTTCAAAGAAAAACAAAAAAGTCCAGTTACCTGGTTTCCTGCCTGAGCAGGGGGTTGGAGTAGATGACCTCCAAGGTCCCTTCCAACCTTATTATTATTATTATTATTATTATTATTATTATTATTATTATTATTATTATTATTATTATTATTATTATTATTATTATTATTATTATCATCATCATCATCATCATCATCATCATCATTTATTTATTTATTTATTATTTATTAATAAATAAATAAATAAAAATAAATTATTATCATCATCATTATTATTATTATTATTATTATTATTATTATTATTATTATTATTATTATTATTATTATTATTGTTATTTGCCTCCTGAAAAAGCACCTTTGGGACAAAGACACAGAGAGATTTTTCAATCGCCTTCCCTAATTTCATTATGTAGCTCTTCTTTTTTCAGTCTTCAGGTGAAGCTTGCTTTGGAGTACAACTAGTCCTTGTTTAGTGACCGTTCGGAATTACAACGGCACTGAACAAAAGTGACTTATGACCCTTTTTTCACACTTACGGCCGTTGCAGCATCCCCGGGGTCACGTGATCAAATGTCGAACACTCGGCAACTGGTTCGTATTTACGACGGTCGCAGCGTCCCGGGGTCCTGTGATCCCCTTTTGCGACTTTCTGACAAGCAGACCTGTGAACCACCCTGTTCCTAACTTAACAACTGCAGCGATCCACTTAAGAACTGCGGGAAGAAAGGTCGTAAAATGAGGCGAAATTCCCTTCCCAAGCGTCTCGCTTAGCAACGGAGATTTCGGGTTCAACTGTGGCCGTAGGTCAAGGGCTCACCTGTATCAAAACATGTTGGCGAAAACTTTGGCCCCTAAAACGGCCTCCTTCGAAGCGGCCGTACAATGAGGCCTTCTTTGAAAGTCTGCACATCTGCAGCCGGGTCGACCTTAGCCAGAGGTTTGACGGTCGTCACAGAAAATGAAAAGGCAGCTTGATTTACCTGCAGAAGGAAACCTCCTCCTCAAATGGCGAGTTTTCTGGCTGGGTTCCAGCCTTAAAGTCGCTGACGTTGAAGTATGAGAGGGTGTGATTGACGAAGCCGTGCATTGTCCCGTTGTGACTGTACGCGTATTGGTAGACCAGGCGTGGGATGAAATCCGAAGTGACCGAAATGACAAAGGCCTGGAAGAGAAACAAAGTCATTCTCCGCGTGAATCGGCCAAGGGAACAGGAGACGGACATGCCTCCTTTGAATAACAGAATAACAGACTTGGAAGGGACCTCGGAGGTCTTCTAGTCCAACCCCCTGCTCGAGAAGGAGACCCCACATCCTTTTGGACAAATGGCTGTCCAGTCTCTTCTTAAAAACCTCCAGTGATGGAGGTTCCATTCCATTCCATTCTATTATTTTTTATTCTTTTTATTCTATTCTTTTTTATTCCATTCCATCCCATCCCATCCCATCCCATCCCATCCCATCCTATCCTATCCTATCCTATTCTATTCTATTCTATTCTATTCTATTCTATTCTATATTCTATATTCTATATTCTATTCTACTCTACTCTACTCTATTCCATTCCATTCCATTCTATTCTATTCTATTCTATTCTATTCTATTCTATTCTATTCTATTCTATTCTATATTCTATATTCTATATTCTATATTCTATATTCTATATTCTATTCTATTCTATTCTATTCTATATTATGTTCTATTCTATTCTATTCTATATTCTGTTCTATTCTATTCTATTCTATTCTATTCTATTCTATTCTATTCTATTCTATTCTATTCTATTCCATTCCATTCCACTCCACTCCACTCCACCTCTACTCTACTCTACTCTACTCTACGCTACTCTACACTCTACTCTACTCTACTCTACTCTACTCTACTCTACTCTACTCTACCCTACCCTACCCTACCCTACCCTACCCTACTCTACTCTACTCTACTCTACTCTACCCTACCCTACCCTACNCCCCCCCAACTTTGATGTTATATATGCTGACAGCAGGAAGAATATGCACACAAAAAACGGAAGGATACTTTGATTCCCACTATGGATGAATGGAGTTAGCAGAGGTGGCTAAATTGACTGCATTGTGGTTTGTATCTTGTGTTGTATCTTATGATCTATGGCTTACCACTTTGTTGTTTGTATGTACACTGAGAGCTTATGCACCGGAGACAAATTCCTTGTGTGTCCAATCACACTTGGCCAACGAAGAATATTCCTATTCCTATATTCCTGTTCCTACTCCTACTTTGTCAATTTCTGTCCATTTTTCCACGTCTGACGCGCATACGTTTTGATTAAAGAAAAAAAAAAATACAATTAATTTTGCTTCTCCTTGGAAACCCAACAGCGGATGAATAGCAGGCTGCAACCAATTCTTGTGGAGATGCAGGCCAGGGGCCGACAACTCCATTATGTATTCTTCAGGCTGCTTTCCAATGGGTGTGTTGTTTTTTTTTTTCATTTATTCTGAATTAAATTGCATTGTTTGGTTTAAAGCAAAGAGTTGAGGTTTCCCCCCCCCCTTTGGGCTAAAAGAGATTTGTCGTAACATGTTCTGGTTCTTTAAAAATCAAACAATTCCACCCCAGCTCTTGTGCATGAAATGGCCAGGTGTTGACTATATCATGCGCTGACAGCGTGTCTGCACACGGCAGCATGGCTGCCTCCAGAATCACAAAGACACACGTGGCTTTGAGGCACTGGAGGATGGGCGTGGTGAGGTGCAAGGTGGACCTTTTAAACATCTGTTTAAAAAGGCACATGAGGGAATTCCAGGTAGGAAGCCTCAGAAGGGGGAAAAGAAAAAATAGCCCCCCAGTGTTGGGCTCCCAAAAAATTAATGAAAAACCACAAAGTGTCTATGGGGATTCTCCATCAGCCAGGGTGTCCCAAAGGTGCTTTTTTCAGCTGGACTTTCTTGTTTTTCCTTTGAAGACCTTTTGCTTCTCATCCAAGAAGCTTCTTCTTTTGTTCAGTGCCGTTGTAATTCCGAACGGTCACTAAACGAGGACTAGCTATACTCCAAAGCAAGCTTCACCTGAAGACTGAAAAAAGAAGAGCTACATAATGAAATTACGGAAGGCGATTAAAAAATCTCTCTGTGTCTTTGTCCCAAAGGTGCTTTTTCAGGAGGCAACTAATAATAATAATAATAATAATAATAATAATAATAATAATAATAATAATAATAATAATAATAATGATGATGATGATGATGATGATGATGATGATGATGATGATAATAATAATAATAATAATAATAATAATAATAATAATAATAATAATAATAATAATAATAATAATAATAATAATGTTGGAAGGGACCTTGGAGGTCATCTACTCCAACCCCCTGCTCAGGCAGGAAACCAGGTAACTGGACTTTTTTGTTTTTCTTTGAAGACATTTCGCTTCTCCTCCAAGAAGCTTCTTCAGCTCTGATTGGATCGTGGGGAGTGGAAGGATTTATACTCCTTATAGATAGCTGGTCATTTGCAGCCTTTTTAGAGAATCGTTGAGGCCACTTGGAGAAGGCTCCGCCCCCATTTGAGCCACTCGGGGGATCCTGAGGACACAGGTAAATCTCCAAGTGGCCTCAACGGCTCTCTGAAAAGGAGGCAAATGACCAGCTCTCTGCAAGGAGTATAAATCCTTCCCTTCCCCACCATCCAGTCAGAGCCGAAGAAGCTTCTTGGATGAAGAGCGAAACGTCTTCAAAGAAAAACAAAAAAGTCCAGTTACCTGGTTTCCTGCCTGAGCAGGGGGTTGGACTAGATGACCTCCAATGTCCCTTCCAACATTATTATTATTATTATTATTATTATTATTATTATTATTATTATTATTATTATTATCATCATCATCATCATCATCATCATCATCATCATCATCATCATTATTATTATTATTATTATTATTATTAGTTGCCTCCTGAAAAAGCACCTTTGGGACAAAGACACAGAGAGATTTTTCAATCGCCTTCCGTAATTTCATTATGTAGCTCTTCTTTTTTCAGTCTTCAGGTGAAGCTTGCTTTGGAGTACAACTAGTCCTCGTTTAGTGACCGTTCGGAATTACAACGGCACTGAACAAAAGTGACTTACGACCCTTTTTTCACACTTACGGCCATTGCAGCATCCCCGGGGTCACGTGATCAAATGTCGAACACTCGGCAACTGGTTCGTATTTACGACGGTCCCAGCGTCCCGGGGTCCTGTGATCCCCTTTTGCGACTTTCTGACAAGCAGACCTGTGAACCACCCTGTTCCTAACTTAACAACTGCAGCGATCCACTTAAGAACTGCGGCAAGAAAGGTCGTAAAACGAGGCGAAATTCCCTTCCCAAGCGTCTCGCTTAGCAACGGAGATTTTGGGTTCAACTGTGGCCGAGTTGGTGAAAACTTTGGCCCCTAAAACGGCCTCCTTCGAAGCGGCCGTACAATGACGCCTTCTTTGAAAGTCTGCACATCTGCAGCCGGGTCGACCTCAGCCAGAGGTTTGACGGTCGTCACAGAAAATGAAAAGGCAGCTTGGTTTACCTGCAGAAGGAAACCTCCTCTTCAAATGGCGAGTTTTCTGGCTGGGTTCCAGCCTTAAAGTCGCTGACGTTGAAGTATGAGAGGGTGTGATTGACGAAGCCGTGCATTGTCCCGTTGTGACTGTACGCGTATTGGTAGACCAGGCGTGGGATGAAATCCGAAGTGACCGAAATGACAAAGGCCTGGAAGAGAAACAAAGTCATTCTCCGCGTGAATTGGCCAAGGGAACAGGAGACGGACATGCCTCCTTTGAATAACAGAATAACAGACTTGGAAGGGACCTCGGAGGTCTTCTAGTCCAACCCCCTGCTCGAGAAGGAGACCCCACATCCTTTTGGACAAATGGCTGTCCAGTCTCTTCTTAAAAACCTCCAGTGATGGAGGTTCCATTCCATTCCATTCTATTATTTTTTATTTTTTTTATTCTATTATTTTTTATTCCATCCCATCCCATCCCATCCCATCCCATCCCATCCCATCCTATTCTATTCTATTCTATTCTATTCTATTCTATTCTATTCTATTCTATTCTATTCTATATTCTATATTCTATATTCTATTCTATTCTATTCTATTCTATTCTATTCTATTCTATTCTATTCTATTCTATTCTATATTCTGTTCTATTCTATTCTATTCTATTCTATTCTATTCTGTTCTGTTCTGTTCTGTTCTATTCTATTCTATATTCTATATTCTATATTCTATATTCTATATTCTATATTCTATATTCTATTCTATTCTATTCTATTCTATTCTATTCTATTCTATTCTATTCTATTCTATATTCTATTCTATTCTATTCTATTCTATTCTATATTCTGTTCTATTCTATTCTATTCTATTCCACTCCACTCCACCTCTACTCTACTCTACTCTACTCTACTCTACTCTACTCTACTCTACTCTACTCTACTCTACTCTACTCTACTCTACTCTACTCTACTCTACTCTACTCTACTCTACTCTACACTCTACTCTACTCTACTCTACTCTACTCTACTCTACCCTACCCTACTCTACTCTACTCTACTCTACCCTACCCACCCCACCCCACCCCACCCCACCCCACCCCACTCTATTCTATTCTATTCTATTCTATTCTATTCTATTCTATTCTATTCTATTCTATTCTATTCTATTCCCACCTCCCCTTGCGATGCCTCTGACTGTGATGAGAATATATGTTAGAATTGCAGCAGTTTTTATACTGGCAGATCCCCAACGTGCTGTCCATCGGCCTATCAAAAAGGAAAAGATGGACGACTATATTTGTGAATAAAACCACCAACACAATATTTCATGGGTTAGAGGGGAGAGGAGAATGGAGACTGAGATTTCCTAAGAATTTGGCTCCATCTTCCCAGATTAGATTTATGAGGAAAAGCTTTTTAAAAATTATGTGCTGAATTATCAATAAAGATTTGAGACTGGCACACAGCTTTGGAAGAAAAACGAACATAAAAGTTACATCTGACTGACTGTGTCAAGTTTCTTATAGCGCCACAGTAAGACCGACGCCAATACTTACATTAATTATGACTGAAAATTTCCCAATGCCACTCAGGATATTGAACCAAATTCCTGCAAGGAAGCACAAAACTTAAATGTTGAGATCTGCGGGACGGGTCCTTGTTAAGCAAATTCTGAAGGCAGATAGTCCTTGACTTATAACCGTCACCAAACCTACAATTATGATCATAAGTTGGGACGGTCATTAAATAGATCATCACGCGACAATTTTATGCCCTTCTTTGGGGCGGATATTAAGCACGCCTTGCAGCCATTAAATGAATGCCTTGATCATTGTGGTTTTTTTGCTGGAAGCTGGAAGTAAACCTCCTTTTTGTGACAGAAATGTTGTAAATCAGGGTGATGTGACCACGGAATGCTGCAAATGGATGTCAATGAGGACTAGTTACCAAGTGCCCAAAGTGCAGTGACATGACCACAGGGAAAGTGTGGGGCGGCTGCCAAAACATCAAATCTGCATCTTAAGTACCGGTACCTTTTTTTGGAGATCTGGTGTAACTTAGAACGGTTCTTCAGTGAGACATCGTAAAATGAGGACTGCCTATGTCATATTTGCCTTAACATGATTTTTCTTAATCTTTATTAAAAACAACAACAACAACAACAACAACTCATACCTATATCCTTCGCTCTCACAGTATCAGGTCTTCTTAGTTCAGCCACAAACTTTTTGGCATCGAGCCGAACTTCAATGACGTTGTTCAACAAGGCAAACACTGGAGCCAGAGGGAAGGAGGCCACAAAGAGAGTCACGAAGCCGAATTGGATGACTAGAAGACGAGAAAGGAAGAGGAGGAGGAAGAGGAGGAGGAATATGAGCGGAGGGACCATAGTAGATATAAACATTTCAGGTGGCAGGTAAAGTCTTGAGAAGGTGTCTTCACCAACTCAGATCTGGAAACAAAGCAGAGGTGCCCAGCCTTGGCAACTTTAAGACCTGTGGACTTCAACTCCCAGAATTCCTCAGGACCAAGGTAGGACCATCCAAGGTCTGGGTTATCATATAATACAGATGTAGGCTTGGATTCAAGTCTCATGTGGGTTTTGGACAGGAGACTGATAAGACCTTGAGCCAAGCGGTCATTCTGGATGCCAATGTCCACTCTGGGCAAAGAAGACTGTAAGATATTTCCAAGATATTTCCCCTACTTCAACGGATTACTTAGGACTGCAGAATATACTTTATTCTGAATATAAATAATATATATAATGTGCAAGCAGCCCAGGTTCGAATCTCAGAAGGGTGTAGCTGGCTGATGAGAGCTAAGGAGCTCGAAATAGCTATATCAGCTTCCCTTTAATTCTTTGTTAGCAATCCAAATTTAACACACACACACACACACACACACACACACATAAACATGCCTTCTCCTATTGGTATCTAATGATTTATCACCTGTGTTTTGTACCTTATGCTTTATGATCTATGGCTTACCACTTTGTTGTTTTTTATGTACACTGAGAGCTTATACACCGGAGACAAATTCCTTATGTGTCTAATCACACTTGACCAACGAAGAATATTCCTATTCCTATATTCCTGTTCCTATTCCTACTTTGTCCATTTCTGTCCATTTTTCCACGTCTGACGCGGATACGTTTTGATACAAAGTGATTAACCACATAATAATAAAATCATTTTAACGGCAAAGATAATGAAGATTAAAATTACTCTCTTCCATCCTTCCGAGGTCAGTAAAATGAGGACCCGGTTTGATTCCATAAACCGCTTAGAAAGGGCTGTAAAGCACTATGAAGCTGTATATAAGTCTAAGTGCTATTGCTATTGCCCATTATTATTATTATTATTATTATTATTATTATTATTATTATTATTATTATTATTATTGATCATCGCACAGTTAGCCAGATGTTCAGACTGGATTTGGCATTTTTGTCTACCTATCAAGTCCTTCCCAAGGACCTGGGATAGGCAGATGTGGATGTTTGATGGTATTACTGATCTCGTCACAGGATGGAAGCGGTTCCTAGTAAGGCCGCCTTTTGCAATTGACTAATGGCGAATTTGTCAATGCCGATGATGGTGTTCAAGTGGTCCTCCAGCTGTTTTGGGATTGCACCCAAGGCGCCTTTTACTATTGGTACTACCCTTGCTTGCTTTTGCCACAGTCTTTCTATTTCTATTTATAATAATAGTAATTATTATTATTATTATTATTATTATTATTATTGCTGTTATTATTGCTATTATTGCTATTATTGCTATTATTATTATTGCTATTATTATTATTGCTATTATTATTATTATTATTATTATTATTATTATTATTATTATTATACAATATTGCAGAATAAATTTAAGGAGTTTTGGATCAGGTTATTGTTAATAAACAGTTGCTGATTGCTTTACCAGCTATGGAGGAATCCTAATTTTTTTTTTTTTGCCTTGTTCTCCTTCTGCCCTAGAGCCCAGATCCGATGTGACAATTTCAACACAATGTTTACCAGCCCCAAGGCCTTTCATTTCATCACAACCCTGTTTTATTGCTTCTCATTTCTGGAGAAAGCAGTCTACTATATTTTGGAGCCTAGAAACCTTTTTAAACCCTACGGTAGCAGCAGCAATGATTTCCCGTGCAATTTTTTCCCCCTTTTTTGTGCGGCAATTAATGTATACAACATGTCTCCACGTGCTCCCCAAAAGAAAACACTCAAATCCCAGAATGTCATGAAGATTAGACAGGAATGTGCTTCTCTCTTTAAGGGCTGTTTTGTTTGTTGACGTCTGAGGACGAGCAGGTTTTGATGACTCTCCTGCTTTCTGGGAAGACATTTCCATAGCTTCAAAATTAATCCCGTTGGATTTAGAGATACCACATTTAATTCTGCCCTCGCCCGATGTTTATAAGAGGAACCACCTTACTGTCTCCAAGAGAGAGAGAATTCCTTGCGTTGGGTTGATTTTTATGTTTTTTATTCTCATATTGACGTTGTATTTATATTATTACCATCCGCTGCTGAAACGTAACATTAAAAAAAAAAAATCCCTCCGGGGTAATTTTCTTCTGAAAAGTACCTCAGGAATATGGTGGCTTTTTTTCTCAAAACATTCACACTTTCTGCAGCCTGACACTCAGACAATTCAGCCATCAAGAGGCACGTGAGGATAAAACAACGCCTACGGGCCCTTCAAAAGAGATCATCCCAAAAGCAAAAGAAGATCATCCCAAAAGCAAAACAAAAAACCCAAAACACTTTCCTCGCTAGCAGTCGATACCAAGATAAGCCGAGTTGAACACCAAGATTAATACTAGAGCAATAATTGAGTAGTAAACAAAATCCCCGATCAAGGAAATGCCAACTCAGACAAACAACCAAACAGTAAACAGCATCCTAATCAAGAAAACACCAAGTAAACTCCCACTAACATCATCATCACCATCATCATCATCATCATTATCATCATCATCATCATCATCATCAAGTTGGAAGGAACCCTGGAGGTCACCTAGTCCAACCCCCTGCTCAGGCAGGAGACCCTATACCATTTCAGACACTGAGAGGGCAAATCCCATTATCTGCTAGCACTGATGATGTTACCTAGTTGGGTAATGAAACGTCTGCAAGGACCAAGCTCAGAGAGCACCAAGGACCCCACAGTCCCTCCTCCTGAAATGGTAGAGGATCTCCTGCTTGAGCAGGGGGCTGGACTAGAAGACCTCCAAGATCCCTTCCAGCTCTATTCTATTCTATTCTATTCTATTCTATTCTATTCTATTCTATTCTATTCTATTCTATTCTATTGTCTAGTCTAGTCTTCATTATTCTATTCTTCATTATTCCTATTCTATTCTATTCTATTCTAGTTTAGTCTAGTCTAGTCTTCATTATTCTATTCTTCGTTATTCCTATTCTATTCTATTCTATTCTATTCCATTCCATTCCATTCCATTCTATTCTATTCTATTCTATTCTATTCTATTCCATTCCATTCCATTCCATCCCATCCCATCCCATCCCATTCCATCTATTCTATTCTATTCTATTCTATTCTATTCTATTCTATTCTATTCTATTCTATTCTATTCTATTCTATTCTATTCTATTCTATTCTATTCTATTCCATATTTTCTATTCTATTCTATTCTATTCTATTCTATTCTATTCTATTCTATTCTATTCTATTCTATTCTATTCTATTCCATTCCTGGTTGGGAAATTCTGGGAGTTGTAAATCCACACATCTTAACGTTGTGAAAGTTGAGAAATACTGCTCTAAAAAGAACGCCCCAATCTGAAGGCCACCTCCGGCAACAAGAACCACAGATCCAAGCCTCCCTCCTCAACAGGGTGTTGAAGCTTGATCTAAGCAGGTCATCTGACAGAATCAAAGCTATAGAGCCTTTTGCCTATGCCAGCTTGCAGCTTCCACGCTCCAGAAAGTGCGCGTCAAGCAGAATCCCTTTCGCAGGATCCAATCTGGGTCGGGCACCTGGATCTTCCCAGCTTTGGGAATCGTCCCGGAGCCAGTCCTTGGGGAATTTCTCTCTAGCCCCTTTCTAACAGTTCATGGCAAATAAAAGGATGCATTTGGGTCAGCCTGACACCAGAGAGTTACGGCAAGATGAAGTGGGCCAGGTCTTTCAATCTTGTGCAAGCAGGTTTTGAGGGAAAGGTAAGAGGGATTGATGGTGCCTGCAGCCTTACTCATTTCCATGTATTCCGGGGTCAGCCCTGTGAAGGGTTCCAAGACGTAGTCCAGCTCCCACTGCTGAGGCTGCTTAGATGGATCTGAATGGCTTTCCTTCTTCTGCGGCCTCTCCTCTTTCAGTTTACGGAACAGTTTCTTTAATTTCCTGCAAATGTACAACATCAGGCCATTAATTCAGTTGCAGGGGAAGTCATTCTATTTTTAAGGGGCTTGGGGCACGACAAAGGCTTTGCTCTCTGTGTGTATGTCTCTCTCTCTCTCTCTCTCTCTCTCTCTCCCATCTCTCTGTTTTTCTCTCTTCCTCTCTCTCTGTTTCTCTCCCTCTCTCTCTGTGTTCCTCTCTCATTCTCTGTTTTTCTCTCTGTTTCTCTCTTTCTCTCTGTTTCTTTCTCTCTGTCTCATTCTGTTTCTCTCTCTCTCTCTCTGTTTCTCTCTTTCTGCATTTCTCTTTCTCTTTCTGTTTCTCTCTTTCTCTCCCTCTCTCTCTTTCTTCTCTCTCTCTCTCTGTTTCTGTTTCTCTCTGTGTGTTTCTTTCTCTCTGTCTCATTCTGTTTCTCTCTCTCTGTTTCTCTCTCTCTGCGTTTCTCTTTCTGTTTCTCTCTCTCTCTTTCTCTCTTTCTCTCTCTCTCTCTCTCTCTCTCTCTCTCTCCCCCCCCTCTTTCTCTCTTTTTCTCTCTCTCTCTGTCTTTCTCTCTCTCTCTCTCCCTGAGAGCCATCTGGCACCCCCAGATACAGGCTAATGCTTACCGTTTGTGACTTAGAAAGCTCCAGCTTTTTTTTTTTTTAATGCTTTTAAAATCCACCGAAGCGGATGTCCTTTCGAAAGCCTTCCAATAAATACACTTTTACTCTGGTTCCTTTCGTGCGGCTGTTTGTTTGATTTTTAAAGGTCCCGAGAAATTAAATCAGGTGATTCAGAGGAGAGCAACCCGTGAAAATGATCCATTCTTATAATCGTAACCACTCTTCCCTTGAGAATTTCAGCCAAAGGCTTACGAGGAGGTTTGTGTGTGTATGTTTAGGTGTGCGTATAGGTAGTCCTTGTCTTACAAACTACTCATTTAGTGGCCATTCTGACCACTAGGCCATCAGGCCCAGCCACACTGTATGCAAATGCTTCCAGTCTTGTGGCCCAGAAAAAAAAAAAGAGAGAGAGAGCAGCTGAAATAATACTTACGGGACACCTATTTCAAAGATATTGTTCTGAATCAGCTGCTTCCCCAACATGATGATGCTGAGCTGGATGCAAAGTTCCATCAAGCATCCCCCAGGAGCACACTGCAAAATAAGGGAAACACACAGGAAGGCATAAAAATCAGACACCCCAGTCTCCCAGCAGTGTGTATGCAATGGCCTCACTGGAGGGGTTGCAGGTCTGGACTATCCAAACCAAGAATTATGGACAGAAGAATAGAATAGAATAGAATAGAATAGAATAGAATAGAATAGAATAGAATAGAATAGAATAGAATGGAATGGAGTGGAGTGGAATGGGATAGAAAAATGGAATGGAATATATGGAATGGAATAGACTAGAAGAATAGAATAGAATTAGAATAGAATAGAATAGAATAGAATAGAATAGAATAGAATAGAATAGAATAGAATAGAATAGAAAAAATGGAACTGGAATGGAATGGAATATATGGAATGGAACATATGGAATAGAATAGAATAGAATATAGAATAGAATAGAATAGAATAGAATAGAATAGAATAGAATATAGACTATAGACTATAGACTATAGACTATAGACTATAGAATATAGAATAGAATAGAGAATAGAATAGAATGGAATGGAATGGAATAAAATGGAAGAGAAGAGAAGAGAAGAGAAGAGAAGAGAAGAGAAGAGAAGAGAAGAGAAGAGAAGAGAAGAGAAGAGAAGAGAAGATAGAAGATAGAAGATAGAATAGAATATAGAATATAGAATAGAATTGAACTGAATAGTATTGAATTACAGAATAGACCAGAATATAGAATAGAATAGAATAGAATAGAATTACAGAATAGAATAGAATAGAATAGAATAGAATAGAATAGAATAGAATAGGAGGCAAGCTGTTCCACTGATTAATTGTTCTCACTGTTCTCTTCTTAGAGTGCTTTCTATTTAGAGTAGAATGATTTTTATATAAAAGAGGGTGGAAACGTGTCTCAGAGCCTGGGCGGGGGGAGAAATTCAGCATCTCCCACTCCTCTTATGCTCCACCTTCCCTAAAATAACACCACGGGTCACAATTAAAGGCTCTTTAATTGTGGTGGACAACAGAATAGATACGATTCAAATCCTCCATTATGCTGGACGTTTTAAATGTTTCCATAATAGCATTTTGCTCGCTGAAGTAGACCTAGAGAAGCCAGAGACGGTGTGTGTAGAAAAGGCCACCTTTTTTTGGTGGTGGTGGTGGGGGGGGTTCTGAGTCTGTTGTCAATCAATTTCATGGAGCGTTTTAATTTAATTTAATTTAATTTTAATTCCACTGATGTTTCTGACATTACGCTGGAAGCATAACGCTGACCCCAAAGTTTAGAAATCATAACCTCAGTGATCACAGTGAGTTTGGATTGATTTTAACAGAAAATGTTCCGGGTAGGAGATTATATAGAGTAAGTCCTTGACTTACAGTCCTACATTTCTGTTGCTAAATGAGACCATTGTTAGGTGGGTTTTGCCCCATTTCGCGACCTTTCTTGCCACAGGTGAATCTGGGCTTCCCCACTGACTTTGCTTGTCAGAAAGTCATAAAAGGAGATCACGTGACCCCTTGGGACACTGCAACCGTCATGAGTACGAGTCAGTTGCCAAGCCTCTGGATTTTGATCGCGTGATCTTGGGATGCGGCAACGGTCGTAAGTGTGAAAAATGCTCATATGTCACTTTTCTCAGTCCTGTTGTAACTTCCAACGGCCACTTAATGAATAGGTTGTGAGTGTGGGCGATTACCTCTTCCATCCGGTAACCAGCAAACATGTAGACGTACTGGCCAGGGCGGCCCACGAACCTGAGGAGAGACAGATATACGAGGGAAATCAGCAACAGAAAAACACAGCATAAGGTTATACGTGTATAAAAGAAAAATATTTTTTAAAAACAGTTGGCCAAGTTTTAATGAAGAGAAGGACCAGGGTGTGACATAAGAGCAGAGTTCCGATATCTCAGGGGCTGCCCCAAAGAAGAGGGAGTCAAGCTATTCTCCAAAGGAACTGAAGGCAGGACGAGAAGCAACCGATGGAAACTGATCAAGGAGAGAAGCAACCTGGAACTAAGGAGAAATTTCTTGACTGTTAGAACAATTAATCAGTGGAACCACCTGCCTCCAGAAGCTGTGAATGCTCCAACACTGGAAGTTTTTAAGAAGAGACTGGACAGCCATTTGTCCGAAATGGTATAGGGTTTCCTGCCTGAGCAGGGGGTTGGACTAGAAGACCTCCAAGGTCCCTTCCAACTCTGTTATTCTATTCTATTCTATTCTATTCTATTCTATTCTATTCTATTCTATTCTACTCTACTCTACTCTACTCTACTCTACTCTATTCTGTTCTTGTTCTGTTCTATTCTTGTTCTATTTTATTCTATATTCTATTATTATTCTATTCTATTATTCTATTCTCCATTCCATTCCATTCCATTCCATTCCATTCCATTCCATTCCATTCCATTCCATTCCATATATTCTATTCTATTCTATTCTATTCTATTCTATTCTATTCTATTCTATTCTATTCTATTCTATTCTATTCTATTAGATTAGATAGATTAGATAATTTAATTTGTATACCGCCCTTCTCCCATAGGACTCAGGGCGGTTCACAGCATATTAAAAACAAATAGTACACAAAATACAAAAAATACAAAATACAAAAATACAGAAGTACAAAAAATAAACCCCGATAAAAGCCGAATTAAAACCAAATATTACCAGCTGTGTTTCCGATTAAAATACTTTTAAAATTATC